AAAAAAAAAAAAAAAAAAAAAAAAGAAAGAAAGAAAACCTTAGGTTGGGGAAATGGTGATACTGATGGATGATATAGCCATACTCGGCATTTCCCATTGTTTTCTCTCTTCATGAAATAAAAGCAAGGGGCCGGAAGTGGTGGCTCACACATGTAATCCCAGCACTTTGGGAGGCCGAGGTGGTTGGATCACCTGAGGTCAGGAGTTGAAGACCAGCCTGACCAACGTGGTGAAACCTTGTCTCTACTAAAAATATATAGGTGAATTCAGACTCACCTATATACACATTTTCAGTTTGATTTCCTTTTTATAAAATTAGCTGGGCATGGTGGCACATGCCTGTAATCCCAGCTACTTAGGAGGCTAGGGCAGGAGAACTGCTTGAACCCGGGAGGTGGAGGTTGCAGTTAGCCGAGGTCATGCCATTGCACTCCAGCCTAGGCAACAAGAGTGAAGCTTGGTCTCAAAAATAAATAAATAAATAGCAAAGGATCTTAATTAAGTTTGATGAAGAGGAATTATACCTTTTCAGCAAAGTAAGTGGCTTTTTCCTCACTAAGACCTATAAGAGAACAGAAGGAGACATTAACATAATCAAAAGCCTCAGAAGCCAGTCACCCTGAGCAACCTTGGCCAATGACCTACCCAGAGTTATGAAATCCGCCTGGACCTGCTTGGCTGTGAGACTCTTCTTCAAAGCACCTGGGAGGCAGGGGAGAGGTCAGTCAGAAAGGCAGACCAGTGAATTAGTTGGCAATAAGTATTTAATGGCCACAATCTACATGACCTAAAGGACAAAAGGAACACCGAAAGACTGGCCAGCTCCATGAAGATCTCAATCTAGCCATGGGGAAAGAGCATCCGAAATGACCAGAAAACAAGAAAGACAGTACATTTTAAAATTTATTTATTTTGGTCGGGCGCCGAGGCTCACGCCTGTAATCCCAACACTTTGGGAGGCCAAGGCAGGTGGATCACTTGAGGTCAAGAGTTCAAGACCAGCCTGGCCAACATAGTGAAACCTCACCTCTACTAAAAATACAAAAAAAAAATTTAGCCAGGCGTGGTGGTGGGCACCTGTAGTCCGAGCTACTTGGGAGGCTGAGGCAGGAGAATTGCTTGAACCCAGGAGGTGTAGGTTGCAGTGAACCAAGATCACGTCACTACACTCCAGCCTGGTGACACAGCGAGACTTGACCTCAAAAAAAAGAAAAAAAAATTATTTCTTTCTTTCTTTTATTTTTATTTTATTTATTTATTTATTTTTTAAAGACAGGGTTTCACCATGTTGGTCAGGCTGGTCTTGAACTCCCAACCTCAGGTGATCCGCCCGCCTTGGCCTCCAAAGTGCTTGGATTACAGGCGTGAGCCACCACACCCAGCCCTTATTTATTTCTTTTCTACAGCTCTGAAAATTTATTTTTTAAATTTATTTATTATTTTTTTATTTTTTTGAGATGGAGTCTTGCTCTGTCACTCAGGGTGGAGTGCAATGGTGTGATCTTGGCTCACTGAAACCTACACCTCCCAAGTTCAAGTGATTTTCAGCCTCCTGAACAGCTGGGACTACAGACATGTGCCACCACACCCAACTAATTTTTGTATTTTTAGTAGAGATGGGGTTTTACCATGTTGGCCAGGCTGGTCTCGAACTACTGACCTCAAGTGATCCACTCACACTGGCCTTCCAAAGTACTAAGATACAGGGATGAGAGCCACCATGCTCAGCTCATGTTTTTTTCAATTGTACAACACAATTATTTATCCCTCCAGCAAGTGTGAGAGAAGTCAGAGACAACGGAAAAGACTTCACAGACTTGGGGATGGGGCAACTGGTGTGAGGAATGAGTAAGGCTATGGATTCCTGGAGCAAGAGGAAGGGGAGTGCAATGTCAGGTTGGGCACGGGGGGGCAACCACCTAGAGCCCCACAGTGCATTATATAGCCACTACTGCATGTGGTTATGCAAAAAAAATTTTTTTCTTGAGACGGAGTCTCCTTCTGTTGCCAGGTTGGACTGCAGTGGCACGATCTCAGCTCACTGAAACCTCCAACTCCCTGGTTCAAGCGATTCTCCTGCCTCAGCCTCCCGAGTAGCTGGGATTACATGCATGTG